GGAGAAGACAAACACCTGCAAACCATCAAGAAAGCCCTTCATATTCTTCACAGAGGTACCTTGTGAACCATGCCTGAGACATGGGACAAACCTGAGACTTACAGACTAAGCTTAGAAAAGATGCAATGCAGTATCAATCCAGCTCAGTTGGTCCTTGCACCCCCACACCACTCACTCTGTAGTAGAAGAGTAAATTCTCTTTTCCTGTATATATGTGGAAAATTTACAATCCTTTAGATAAAATATGAATTATCAAGCATGTGTTAAGTGAGGACCAGATTATATACAATGAAGAGAAAAGGAAAAAATACTAACCCTATATGTAATCTAGATATTGTAATTAACAGAAAAAGCCTTTAAAATATCAAGAAATTGATGAAAAGGTAGACAAAAGGGTTAAAATATGTAAAATTTTAAAGGAGAATTGAATTCCACAGAAAATATAAAAAAGATAGCCTAGAATACATAACATAATATCCATAATTAACAATTGATACATGAGATTGACTGCAGAAAGAAGGTAGCAGAAGAAAATATTGGAGCGCTATAAAGCAAGTCAATGGAAAATGTCCAAATTAAAACACACAAGGAAGGGACACCTGGGTGGCTCAGTTGGTTAAGGGTCTGCCTTCAGCTCAGGTCATGATTGCAGGGTCCTGGATTCAAGTCCCTCATCAGGCTACTTGCTCAGCAGGGAGCCTGCTTCTCCCTCAGCCTGGCACTTGCCCTGCTTGTTCTCAATCTCATTCTCTCTCTCTCTGAGAAATAAATAAATGAAAATTTTATTTTAAAAAACACAGAAGGAAAGTAACACAACAGTATCTGAACATTAAAAAATGTGGAAGACATGATCAAGAAGATACTGGGAGGGTTAATGGCTGAGTATTTTTCAAAATTGATACATCTCATAAAACATTCATTATGTCAATGAATCAAAATTAGATTGAGTTTATAGAAAACTACACCCAAGCATATTACAGTAAACCTGCTTAAAAAAAAAAAAAAAAAAAAAAAGGAGAGAGAGACAAAATCTTAAAAGCATCCAGAAGAAAAATACACATTTTCTTCAAAGAAACAAAAATAAGATGGACAAGCTTACTGAGAAAAAGGGGTGTCAAAAGACAATAAATATTGTAATTATTATTTTTAAAGATTTTATTTATCTATTTGAGAGAGAGCATGAAGATGGAGGCAATGGGCAGAGGGAGAGGAAGAAACAGACTCCCCACTGAGCAGAGAGCCTGGACATAGGGCTTGATCCCAGGACCCAGGGATCATAACCTGAGCGAAAGGCAGACACTTAGCCACGTGCCCCAATAGTTGTCATTAAGGTGTTGAAAAAAATATAACTAGTATTTCATGAAAGCATGGAAAGAAAATGTGTGTCAACAGGACAGAATTCAAAATTAAAAGTGATAGTGTCCCAATTTCAAGTAAAAAAAAAAATTACCCACACTATATCCTGTCTTTGCTACTGAATGCAACTAAAAATCCTAGACAACATGCATGAAGCATCTGTCTGAGTTCTCTGAAACATAAATGCTGGAAAACAGATTAGAGAAAATAAAGAGAATGAGAATACAAATTATTGATCAGGAGAAAATATTTGCAAATCATATATTTGACAAAAACTTGAATCCAGAATATAAAAATAACTATAAAAACTGAATGCAAGAAGGCAAAGAACCTAATGAAAATGGGGCAACATACTTGAAAAGACACATCATCAAAGAAAATTTACAGATTCTAAATTAGCATATGAAAAAGGATGTTAAAATTATTAGGTATTAGGGAAGGAAAAAATAAAATCATAATGGACACACATCTACATACCAGCGATGATATATTAATAAGATTAAGAACAAAAGTGACAATTAAAAGGAAATGTCATACATCGCTCATGGAAATACAAAATGTTATAGCAATTTTGGAGAACAGTTTGGCATTTTCTTACAAAGCTAAGCATCCATTTACAACATGATCCTGCAATTCCACTTCCAATGTAGAGAAATGAAAACTTATGTTTAGGCAAAAAAACAAACAAACAAAAAACAAAAACAAAAAAAAACACTAAAATGTTTATAACAGTTTAATTATCACCTCAAACTAGAAAAAACCCAAATGCTCTTCAGTTGACAAATGTACAAACACACTGTAATGCTTCTGTACAATGGAATTATTTACAATGATATAAAGGAACAGATACTCATACACACAACAACCAAGGTGAATATCAAAAACATTATGCTAAGTAAAAGAAACCAGTGTCAAAGTTTACATCTTCTATAATTACATTTACTTGACATTCTAGAAGAGGCAAAGCTATAGCAACAGAGAACAGATAGATAGGTTAGTGGTGAGTGACTGATTTTACTACAAAGGAACAGCATGATGAAATTTGGGAAAGTTTGGGACTGTCCCAGATCTTGACTGGTGAAGGTTAAATACATGTATATAGGCTATAATTCATAAATGCCTGTAACCATAGTTATATGCAATTAATATGATATGAATTTACATAGCACAGTATATAAGTAACATATGTTATATGAATATAATTGTATGTTATTGTAGAAATTGCATAGGTATAACATTTTTCAAAATTAATAAATACTTAAAATGTTTTAAATTTTTGTATATAAATTGTATGTTAGTAAAATTCGTTAAAAGCAAATAGCTTTCTTCCTAATAAAAATAAATGTGAAGAAAATACAATTTTTCACAAATGAGATAGAGAGAATGTATCACCATCTGACTTGCATTAAAATTATGATACTTGGATAAAAATGCGGGAGTTAACAGTAGAACTATAGATAGCCAATTACATAGAGCAATATGCATCAGGTATTTAGTGGTTTAACATATTTTATATGTTGAAATCATGTATACTAAACATGTAGTTTTAGGAAAAAATACTTTTGGAAGTACACAATCATCAAACTCAGATTGTTATTCAAAAGATATTTGGAGAGAGATGCACATTTTTCTTCTTAAATCTGGAAATAAATATTATTTTAAAACTATAGCTTACAAAGGAAATCCAAAAGTAGAATTTTAGTAAGAATATCATACAATGAATGAAACTGCTTATAGTTCAAACTCTTCCAGTTTAAAAAAAAACAAAAAACAAAAAAAACCTCTTCCAGTTTAAAGGAGACTATAGGATTTTGATATTTCAATACCCAACATCTAAATATGTAGAATTAGTGGTTTTCAGTGATAAATTCATATTATTTTGCCATGTATTTTTATATATATATATTTCAATCTTGTCTCATCAATGTCACAGAAATTCTTTTCCATGTAAGAAAGGGTTTGAAATGTGCTCTTAGAAGATCATGCTATACCATATACTAATCAATTATAAATAGGAAAAATTATTTCCAGTGGCATTATGGCCAGAATGACAATAAAACAAAACAAAAGATTAACACTTTCACTCAAATATTCATGGTCAATTATAAAGCAGATAGAAATAACATAACGGTCAAATTATAAAGATTTTTTGACATAAATTGCCAACTGATCACTATTTATGAGAATGTTTCTAAGTATGAAAGAAAATATTTTAAGTTCTACCTGCATACTCTTTAAACATTGATTTTTAAAAACTGATTGCACATTTTTTTCCCTAAATTATCAAGTGTTAAAATGGTTGTTCATATGTCATCAGCATTAGTATTGTCTAGGAGACATAATTCTTGTGTAACACAAGATTTTTAAAAACACCTAAAAAGAAGCTAATGTTTAAAGAATAAAATAAAAAAGATACTCAGGAAAAAAATGATTTATTAGCACATAATGAACTATACTGTTCTGTAATTTTGTAATGCTCTTGGTAGTATATGTATAAGAGATTATAATCAAATATGGTTTTCTCATCAGGCTCATCATTAATGATGCTGATTCAGCTCTTGCTAATGAGAATTATAAGCCTTTGTTGATTAGGTCATTGAATTAATTCTCACTAGTATCATTACAACACATTTACTGTGAGGAAGGTAATAAAAATGGGAATTTTATCTTTTCATTTCTGTAGAAGTACATATTATCCTTGAGAATGGGGCCACTCTTACTTTAAATACCTTCACTCAATTTTCTTCTCTTACAGCCCTCAGTAGCAAATAAAAAATACCCAATTTATGGAAAGTAAATTATGCAAAAATATGCACGGGGTGTATTATAATTCAATAAGAAAAGTAGATAGAACTGGGATATGTGACTGGCTTCAGATCAACTTCAAAGAATGTGACCAAGCAAATGACCACAATGGAACACACAGTGATTTGTGTTAACATATTAGTCCACAAGAATGAAAAAAAAGAAGATGATCTAAGTGATCAATCTGCATCAGCAGATGAGGATTCAAAATGCAGAACCTTGTTATGAAAGACTAGTTCTAGCTACAAGATTCGGACATACTTAGCATCGGAAAGGAGGTCACAAACAAAATGAGAGCCAGCCTGAACAAGCGGATTCCCAGAAGCACACAGCCACAATCTGCTGACAACCAATTAATGTCTTTACACTTTTCCCTTCATTTCAGAATATTCTCAACAATAATGTGGATAACTTTCTATTATAAAAATCCGAGGAGATCCTAGGATCACTGTAAAAAAAAAAAAAAAAAAAACACCATCAGGCAGAAATTCAGGAGGTAAAAGATATATATTTGGAAGCTCAACTTGAAAGAATAAAAGCCACACACAGGTGGGGATTAAGTTAATAGACTCCTAACTTAAAAATGGTGCTTCTAAAATGGATTTAAAAATGGATTTAAAGTGCACGTTTGATTTTCTGACAATCATTATATTTTCCTAAACTAATCTTTTTCTCTATGCTACAAAAGCCTTGTTCAATAAACCATTTGAGTAATCCATAGATTATTAGCTCTTACATTCTCTTTTCAATTTAGTAGTAATTTTCAATTTGTAGGACCTCACATCAACAACTTGAACCCAGTTGTTTAATAAAGCATGTCATTTCAAACATACAAGGGTGCCTGGCTGGCTCAGTCAGTAGAGCATGAGACTCTTAATCTTGGGGTCATGAGTTCAAGCCTCATGTTGGGCGTAGAGTTTACTTAATGAGAACAAACAAACAAACAAACATATCAAACATACAGCTGCTCATACCCTTATTGAAGCTCCACCACACAATAGACAACCTGTAATCCACTCTTCTGCATCATTAAAAATTCTGCTAAGTATCTCTTTAAAATATGAACATTTGCTATTTAATGTCCTAAGAATAAAGATGTGATGTGTAATTTACAGCTAACTATAACAGCTTTGATGCCTCAAAGTAAGAACTACTGCTTTTGTTTCTTAACATGAGCTATTTGAAAAAATAGACTTTAAAATGTAGATTTGATGTAGAGAATGTATTAGGGTTATCTCCTACCCTCCCAAGTGATTGTATCTTTTTAAGGTTTTTCTGATGTGCTTTCAATTTTTTGCTCATCTGGTTCTGTAAACATGAAGTAATTGAGATTGTAGAAAAAGCTAGAGGACAGAAAAGGCAATACAGCCCTGGGACAAAGCTATAAATATGTACTCTTGTGTATCCCAGGGGAACCCAAACTACTTCTCACCTTTCACCTGATAGCAACAGAAAACAACGCGTTCGTCTCTTCAGTGAACACAGATGGTGTACCTGGAGCCATGTTAATCTTCTCTAGCAAAGATACTATAAATTGCACTAGTAGCTCCAATGGGATTATTTTTTGTTGAGTTGTGGCTGTCTATTCTCATCTCTCAGGATGAGTAGAAGTATTGCTAGAGGCAAGGAAAAAAAAAACCACAAAAACAGGGCAAGATTATTAAAGGGATTGCACAAAATCAAGATTTGCAAAGAGATTACAGAGAAAACAATATGTGGAAAGCATGGAGGTATAAAAATTAATATGATGTAGCTCAGAGGGGATGGAATCTACCTAGGATGTGTAAGGAGATGAGTGCCTAAGCTCATGGTGTATAAAAGAGCCATTGCATAAAGGCTTCAAATAACACATAAAGATCTTTATTAATTTTTATACAATGAATTGGGAATGATTGTATTTAACCAAGAGGCTGATATTTCAGAATTTCATTTTAGAAATATTGATCTGGTAACAGTGGAAAATGTGACAAGTTAGCAAAATCTGATAGAAAAAAATTTGTAATAGACCAGGTGAAAGATGACTAAGGCTTGTCTCAAAGTAATATGATACAGGATATACTTGAAGATCTTACAGAAAGATAGAAATTTCCAGATATAAGAAGAGTAAGTTCTGGGGCTCTGGTGTACAATAGGATGACTACAGTTAATAAAATGAACTATAAACTTGAAAGTTGCTGAAAGTAGACCATAAGCATTCTTAACACACACACACACACACACACACACACACACACTCACACACACACTCACACACAAAAGGAAAAAGGAGTTATCTAGGTATGTGAAATGATAGATATACTAATTATCTTGATCTTGTTAACCATCCTACAATCTATATGCATATCAAATCATCATATTGTACACTTTAAGTATATACAATTTTATTTGTCATTCTGAAATAAAGTTTTTAAAGTAATTGTAATAGGAAAAATGTGTAAGGACTTCATGATATATTAAAGGAAATGGGAAGTACTATGACTTGCTTTTGAGCTAAAGGGAGGAATTAACCATGAGAAGATGAAAAGACAGTGCTGAATTGGGAGCCAGAGGAAAGGAAGAGAAGGTGAAAATGGAGATTTGCTGTTACCCTTGACAGTTGTGTGTACATACAAATGTGTGTATGTGCATATCACTACCTGAAGGCCTGTGCAGTGAGAACTAAGAACAGGAGCTGGGAAATGAGGTGCCTTTTTTTTTTTTTTAAAGTCAGATTATTTATTTTATTTATTTATTTATTTATTTAGATTTTATTTCTTTATTTGACAGAGAGGGAACACAAGCAGGGGGAGTGGGAGAAGGAGAAGCAGGCTTCCTGCTGAGCAAGGAGACTGATGCGGGGCTCTATCTCAGGATCCTGAGATCCTGACCTGAGCCAAAAGCAGAGGTTTTAACTACTGAGCCACCCAGGCACCCCAGTGAGGTGCTTAAAGAAAAAAAAAATGTCTTGGGCGCCTGGGTGCCTCAGTCACTTGAGTGTCCAACTCTTGGTTTTGGCTTGGGTCGTGATCTCAAGGTCCTGAGATCCAGGCTGCATAGGGCTCTGTATCCAGGGAGAGTGTGCTTGAGATTCTCTGTCCCTTCCTGGCTTGTGCTCTGGCATGCGTACTCTCTCTTTAAAATAAAATAAATAAATCTCCTTAAAAAATGTCTTGCCAGGGCCTCTGGAATTATAGCACTCATCACCGCTCTAAGAATTGTATATTTGGATATTGATTTGGATATTGGTAGATGTTTTCTACTCTATGCAACTATCATTCAGCAATCCCTTTAGTAAAAATGAACTGTGTAAGAATTTTATAATATTAACATGAAAACAAATCTTTATGGAAAGCATTATTTCCTGTTACTAGGTTACATCTACAATAGTTAGTCTTTTATAATATACATTCAGAAAAATTAATGAAAACAAATCAAATGCTCTTAGAACCAATGTGATGGCCACCAGTTACATTTGATCCTTGAACAGGTGCAATGTATCCAGCTCAAATGAAGATGCACAATTAAGTATAAAATAGATGCTAGGTTTGAAATATATAGTAGGAAAAAATAGCAAAATATCTCAATTTTTTTCATTTTATTTTTATTTCTTTTCAGAGATCCCAAATTCATTGTTTATGCAACACACCCAGTGCTCCATGCAATATGTGCCCTCCTTAATACCCACCACCAGGCTCACCCAACCCCCAACCCCCTCCCCTCCAAAACTCTCAGTTTGTTTGTCAGAGTCCACAGTTTGTCATGGTTTGTCTCCGCCTCCAATTTCCCTCAACCCACTTCTCCTCTCCATCTCCAAATATCTTTTGTGTTATTCCTTATGCTACACAACTAAGTGAAACCATATGATACTTGACTCTCTTTGCTTGACTTATTTCACTCAGCATAATTTCTTCCAGTCCATTTTGATAGAAAAGTTGGGTGTTCATCCTTTCTGATAGAGGCATAATATTCCATTGTATATATGGACCATATCTTCTTTATCCATTTGTCTGTTGAAGGGCATCATGGTTCTTTCCACATTTTGGCAACTGTGCCCATTGCTGCTATGAACATTGGGGTATAAATGCCCTTCTTCTCACTACATACATATCTTTGGGGTAAATACCCAGTACTGCAATTGCAGGGTCATAGGGTAGCTCTATTTTTAATTTTTTGAGGAATCTCCACACTGTTTTCCAAAGTGGCTATACCAACTTGCATTCCCACCAACAGTGTAAGAAGGTTTCCCTTTCTCCACATCCTCTCCAACACTTGTTGTTTACTGTCTTGTTAATTTTAGCCATTCTAACTGGTGTAAGGTGGTATCTCAATGTGGTTTGGATTTGAATCTCCCTGATGGCTAATGATGATGAACGTTTTATTTAAGTATTTGTTAGCCATTTGTATTTCTTCTTTGGAGAAGTGTCTGTTCATGTCTTCTGCCCATTTTTTGACATGATTATCTGTTTTGTGTGTGTTGAGTTTGAGGAGTTCCTTATAGATCCTGGATATCAGTCCTTTGTCTGTAGTGTCATTTGCGAATATCTTCTCCCATTCTGTGGGATGCCTCTTTGCTTTGTTGACTGTTTCCTTTGCTATGCAGAAGTTTTGATCTTGATGAAGTCCCAAAAGTTCATTTTTGCTTTTGTATTCTTTGTCTTTGGAGACATTTCTTGAAAGAAGCGGCTGTGGCCAATGTCAAAGAGGTTACTTCCTATCTTCTCCTCTAGGATTCTGATGGATTCCTGCCTCATGTTGAGGTCTTTTATCCATTTTGAGTTTATCTTTGTGTATGGTGTAAGAGAATGGTCGAGTTTCTTTCTTCTACACATAGCTGTTCAATTTTCCCAGCACCGTTTATTGAAGAGACTGTCTTTTTTCCACTGGATATTTGTTCCTGCTTTGTCAAAGATGATTTGACCATACAGTTAAGGGTCCACATCTGGGCTCTCTACTCTGTTCCACTGGTCTATGTGTCTGTTTTTGTGCCAGTACTATGCTGTCTTAGTCATCACAGCTTTGTAATAAAGCTTGAAATCAGGCAATGCGATGGCTCTAGCTTTGTTTTTCTTTTTCAATATTTCCTTAGCAATTCAGGGTCTCTTCTGGTTCCAGAGTTTGGGATTGTTTGTCTCAGCCCTTTGAAAAATGCCAGTGGAATTTTGATCGGGATGGCATTGAAAGTATAGATTACTCTAGGCAGTATAGACATTTTAACAATGTTTATTCTTCAATAATTTTTATAATGATTGAATGTTGAAATATTATTCTGGAGATAATTGAATTAAATAAAATATATTGTTAAAATTAATTTTGTTCTGTTTATTTTTACATTTGTCAGTATGACTATTAGAAAAGTTAGTATTTCATATTTGGCTCAAAATTATGGCTATTATTATGGTTTCACTGACCAGTATTGCTCTAGAATATAATAGAAGTTAAGATATTTAAGATTATTTAAATTACCAACTCTCCTCAAAGTTTTAACTTTGAGAGTCTTTCTTTAAAGAGTATTAATAGAATGCTTAAGAAGCACTCTGGGTTTTTAAGTCTGCATTGCTTAATTTTCCATTTTGTAATAGTATTTCTCTTTATTCCTTTCCCCGTGACTAAAATTGTTATTTCTAGCATCTTTTGTGTCCTATTTTATTTAAGTGGTGAATTGAGGAGAGTTTGCTTTCCATTTTTTGTCTGCTTTGCTTTTATCTTCATTTGGTAGATGTGTGACGGTGAGAGAGTCTGCATGTGTGGATGGAGGTCTTGGTCCTTTGATTCCCCACAAGAAGATTTAAGTGGTTGATCTGTGCTCAAATAAAGACAGCAAGAAGAAAAATAGCAAGCATAAAACAGTTTATTAAAGCAGAAGTATACTCTCAAGGTGGGAGTGCAGGCTTGTGCCGCAAGATGGAACTGGCCATAGGTTCTTCTGGGGTTGG